CCCCCCCCCCCCCCCCCCTCTCTCTCTCTCTCTCTCTCTCTCTCTCTCTGTCTCTCTCTCTCTCTTCGTCGTTGTCCTCTGTGCAGGTTCGCGTCACCTTCCTCCGCAGCCCAGCTATGGTGGACTTCTTCTTCAAGGGTGACTCACTTCAGCTATGGCACCCACGTATCTCCCTCCTGCTACAACGACGATGCGCATGGAGTAGCGGGTACCAACTCCGATACCAGTGCAATCAGACTCGCATACTTCGTCACGTCACATGCATACAAACAGATGGTGAATCACACTGGCGCCTAGCGCCCAACTCAATGCTCGAGGATATGGGAACCAAGACACAGTTCAGATGCAAGCTCGCTTAAATAGGCTATGGTGCATCAGAACCCACTCATCGCAACTATCGTCACTGTGTCCAACACCACTGTTCACTTCACACATCAACTCCGGATCACCCTGGATACCCCACGCACATACTCTGCATACACACGAATGCACACCTATTACTAACTATGGCAGCTATAGCCGCCAGCTAACTCTACTCTACAAGCAGCTATGGTTGCGCTAACTCCCTCTAGCCCACTTCGACTTCAGGCTCCTCTGCAGACCACCTCGCACAAGTCACCATGGCAGCGCGTCCGCATGGCTTCCGCAGGAATGAATGAATGGTTGTGCGCTGCCTCTTGATTTATACTTCTCTAACTCGTTGGTCTGCCCCTTTCCATCATCCCATGGTACACACAGTCCCCTATGGTACTTGCTGGACTGGACTGGGACTGACTGGATTGTACTGTTGACTGCATGGGGACGCACTGCTAACCTACCGCTATCGTACTGCGAATGTACTGCAGTTGGTCCACCACTTGCCCACTTGCCCACTTGCCTCAGTCTAAAACGTGAGCAAGCTGCGAAAGACCACTTCTGGACCTTCCGGAAGTCTGTGGACTTGGCCTTTCGGGATTGTAGCAGCTACGACCTTGACCTTTCAGGATTGTAGCAGCTATGACTTTGACCCTTCAGGACATCTAGAGCTACGACTTCTGGAACTCTCTAAGACCTCTACTCGACAGGTCTACAAATCGAATCCCTATGTCCACACAGTCCTACGACAGACAAACAACAACTCACGAAACACAGGTCACGGGCTCAAATACTCAAGGGTCAACTCGGTACTGTACATGGGTAAGGTAAGGTCTGGGGATCGAACCCTGGGATGTGCATCTGCCTCTGCAAAAGTGAAAACCATTTCACAATTCGGTATTCTATTTTATTTCGGCATTCTGTTTTAAATCGGTATTCTATGTTATTTCGGTATTGGAATTAGGGTTGCGATAAAATTTCGGTTTTCGTTCAATTTGGGGAAATTCACATGTTTTTGGAACCGTAAAACCATAAATTCCGTGAAATCATGGAAAATTAGGGTTGAAATCTGAATTTTTTGCGAAATTTTTTCTTTTCCCTAATTGATAATTTTCGAATACGGACTCCGGCCTTTTGAAAATCGGACTTTGTTAGGTTGAAATTCCTGAAATTTCACGTTTTTCGAAAATTCGAGTGTTTTTCTTCTCCTGACTATCCGAATTTTTTTTTTTTTCATTTGGCAATATTGTTCGGAATCGTTACGTCACAACTGCAACTTCCGGGGAATTCACTAACAACGGTGAACTCCCGAGCCATAGGTGATCTCAATGGACACCTAATCCACCGACAATTTGACAATTCGTTATTGACAATTATTAAATGTTTTTTATTAATGATTAATTATTAATTATTTTTGTAATTAAAATGTTTAAAGGGGGAAAAGTCATTTTTTTTCTCTTTTGATTAGGGGTCCAGTGCATATTGGGACAGGGGACTGTATGTGAATTGCTTGATCTGTTCTACCCCTGTTCCTAGCCTCCCTGCCCTTCCCGTATCTGTGACCACCGGGACTTCTCAAGTACCACATCAGCTCGCGCTGATGTTGATGGAACAGGACACCGGGGCACTACCACGACGCAGTGCCAGGCTCGCAGTTCGTAGCCACTCTGTGGTACCTCCACGAACCAAGTATCAGCAACAGCGACTCAGCAGGCGAACGACTCCAGCGACATCGAGTAAAGCAACTGCAGTACTGGTTACCACCGGGGCTCTTCCCGCATGTCTGGTCCAAAGGGACCACGAGCCGTTGCTAGATTACCTTCAGCGGGTGCAGGCATTTACGGATGTCGTTGCTACCGCTAAAGCACAGCAGGAGGCAGCAGAGGCGGAACGTAAGCGGCTGGCCAATGAGGCGGCAGCCCAAGCTCAGCGGACTGTTGAGGCTGATGCAATGGCTCGAGACAGACGGAATGCCGCCAGCGTTGAGTCCCTGATTCAAAATGAGAATCAGTGGACAATGCTACTCCAAGACATGATCTTTGTGCCTACGGACGCGTAGGCGGATCCGACACCGGCGGAGACAGAAAGGAGTAACCTGGCTAACCTGATGTTGGGCATGATGAGAGCGGTAATGTGGAATAACACAATCCTGCAGGTACACCTGCTCGCAGAACGACAGCTCAAACAGAAGCAGCAACAAGATACTGCCGCCTTAACAGCTGCCATCTGCGTCGCAGCAACACAGCAGCAGCACCAGCACCAGCACCAGCTGTTGAACTCCACTCTCACACGCGTCAACAACATCGAGGCTCAGGCCTCAGCAGCGCCAGGTTGCATGACAGACACGGCGAAGCAGCTCGGGGAGCGCATCGACCATGTCGTCAATGTGATCGGTGAACTGGGTGACTTCACTAATCCAGCCACAATCAGCAGCATGGTGGCCGCTAAGACGGACATCACCAAGCTGCAGTCACGACCGGACACCGCTACAAAGGCATACAAGATTCCGCGCTTCAACATCGGCAAGTTTGACGACTACAACAAGACGGACGCTTTGACATGGTGGCAAGGCTTCCTCACCGAAGCATCCTGCCACTCTGTACCGTCCGAAGATATGATGAAAGCGCTCTACCTCCAACTCACTGGAGGAGCACAGGCATGGATGAACCATACCGCGGCCAATCTGAAATGCACCATCGCCCAACTGCACACGCACATTCCGTGGAAGCAGTTCGAGCAAATGTGGTCCACTCGATTCATGGCCCGCAATGTTGTAAAGGCGACCATGAATGGCGTCTACTCCAGCTCACAAGGGAACATGCCAACTCGAGACTGGACGATCAAGTGGCAGAAGATAGTAACCACTCCAGGCTTCAACTTGAGTTTCCCAAACCAACGATCTGAGTTCTTTTCGTGATCGTGCGTAGGACTGCGGACGACACTCGGCAACGAGTACGACTATGCCTCATTCCAGGCCATTCTGAATCGTGCGAACCTGGTCATCCAAACGGATGACAAGGCCGCTAACGAACGGCAGTCCCAGCCTCACTATGTGGCTAAGCAAGGCTACCAATGACCGGCACATAACAATGTCGTGATTCCTGATGAATCAATCGATCTCCACGCTGCAGCAGCATCCTCGAGTGATGGAGGAGTTGTTGCAGCGCTCCCGCCAAAGCGTCCCAAGAGAGTTCGGAAGAACAAGGCGACACAAACGACGACATCAACGGGAACTGGGCAGCAACTATGGACGACATACAACATTACCAAGGAAGTATTTGACCTTCGTCAACGGTACGAATATTGCCTATGGTGCAAAAGTGTAAACCACACTACGACACAATGCTCGGAAAAGAGCAAGGCACGCGTACCCTGTCCAGCTAACTCGGGAAACTGAGTTACGCACGGAGAGGGGCGACTCCTCTCCTCACTCCGCCGGAACCGGTTGCCTTGCTAGTAACCGATATCACTACCGGGGAGCATGCGTTGTCGCTGATTCTCGTGCTATGTACGAGGATTATGCCACCCAGCTGGTGCCACCATTAGACCAGCCTAGCCACGTGCACTTAGATAGCTTATGCGCAGCCTATACACCGTTGGCAAGTGAACCAGTCAGTTCGCCACTGATTTTTGAGGACTCGACGACGTGGTCAAGACTTGAGGAGCTTGACCCGCTCACGAGAGAGGACTTCGCTTGGATGCCTCTACCCTCAACCGGAACCTTGCCAAGGACGCATTGTAACACCTTGATGGCAAATCTACGCTCCTATTTGCACGCTGCAATACCAGCTCCCCTGACGGACGACGGAGTAGCGGTTGTCGATCTCCGCTCCTATCTCGCGAAGATTGACCGCGAGTATGCCACCCAAAGGTACACCGAAACCGATGCGCCTTTGCTCTATATCAGTATTCAAATTGGAAAGGCAACTTGCAGTGCCTTGATTGATTGCGGAGCATCTCACAATTTCATGAGGCAAGCCTTTATGGCCCGCGCGTTCGAAGGAAGACGCAACCTACACAAGTTACACTCGCGGACAGCCGCACACAAAAGTCGATTGACCAATGCGTTGACGACGTCTCGGTATACTTTGCGCCCCTTGCGTGCGAGCCGGTGTCTTTCCACATCCTCGACACCAAGTTTGACATGATTCTAGGCATGTCTTGGTTGCGTAGCGCCGATCATCTGGCGAACTTCCATGACCGAACCGTTTACATCCGTGATCGGAACCGAGTGTTAGTACCATGTACGGTTGCGACCCCTCACACTTCGATTTCTTGTCACGTGGTTTCCGATGCGAGGATTCGTGATGCCATAGCTCGGAATGACGTCAAGGAGATGGGCCTTGTTTTCTTACATGCCCTCCCCTCGTCGGACGGACCACCCGTGTCGCTGCCGGACCCACGTATTACCCACCTCTTAGACGGATATGGAGACGTCTTCGAGGATCCCACCGAAACAGTTCCGGATCGGCCCATACGACACGGGATTACGCTCGAGGCGGACGCCGTCCCTCCGCGTGGATGCATTTACCGCATGAGCGAAGAGGAACTCGAGGTGCTTCATGCACAACTCGATGACCTTCTCGACAAGGGCTGGATTCGCCTTAGTTGTTCGTCATACGGTGCACCAGTTCTCTTCGTCCAGAAGAAGAACAAGGACCTATGCCTGTGCATTGACTATCGACAACTTAACGCACAAACCGTTAAGAACGCCAGCCCTCTCCCTCGGATTGATGATCTCCTCGAGCGGTTGGGCGGTGTGACGTACTTCTTGAAGTTGGACTTGAAGTCGGGTTACCACCCGATTGAAATCCAGCCTCAAGATCGGTACAAGACCGATCTTCAAAAGGCAGTATGGGCGTTTTGAGTGGGTCTTGATGCCATTTGGACTCACCAATGCCCCGACAACTTTCCAAGCAGCCATGACAACGGAGTTCCGAGACTTGCTCGATCGTACCATCCTCATCTATCTCGACGATATCTTGGTCTATAGTAGGACGCTCGACGAGCACCTCGTACACCTTCGTGTGGTGTTGGATCGTTTGCGAGCATCCAAATACAAAGCAAACCTGTCAAGAGCGAATTCGCCAAGCAAGAGCTTGAGTACTTAGGCCATTATGTGACCCCGAAAGGCATTCGTCCCTTAGCGGACAAGATCCAAGCCATCGTGGATTCGTCGGAACCCCGTTGCATGACGGACGTACGCTCTTTCATGGGGTTGGCTGGATACTATCAGCGTTTTGCCGAGTCCTACTCCAAACTGGCAGCTCCTTTGTCGAGACTTAAGTCCCCGAAGGTACCATTCGAGTTCGACGACGCAGCTCGTGGCGCGTTCAATACGTTGAAGGCGGCGATGCAAGACGCACCGGCCCTTCGTATCTATGATCCCACCCTACCCACCCAAGTGACTACGGATGCTTCCGGGTACGGTCTTGGTACGGTATTGGAACAATGCCACATGGATGGTTGGCACCCGGTCGAGTACTTCTCCCAAAAAGTGTCTCCCATCAACACTCTCGACGACGCTAGGAAGAAAGAGCTACTCGCGTTCGTCACCGTTCTCAAACGGTAGCGCCACTTTCTTATCGGTCGTCGGCGTTTTAGATGGAACACGGACAACAATCCGTTGACCTTCTACAAAACGTAGGACAGGGTCACTAGCACGATCCGTCGATGAATGTATTACATCGACCAGTTCGATTTTGAGCCGTGCCACATTCCCGGTCCCGCCAATCGAGCAGCGGACGCCCTCTCTTGATGGCCCGACCTTTGTGCCCTCGTGACGACGATGTTCCAACTAGACAACGATCTGCAGCAACATTTCGTYAAAGGCTACAAGTCCGATCCGGCGAACTCTACGCTTTATCCGGACCTATCATCGGATCACACGCCGGCTGGTCATTATCGTATCTCCGACGGGTTCCTACTTCTTCACACGAGAGGAAAGGACTTGTTAGTGATGCCCTTAGATCGCATCTTACAGACTCGTCTTCTCGGCGAATTCCATGATGCACGACTTTCGGCACACCTTGGTGTGACCCGCACATTGGCCCGCCTCCGCCAACGTTTTCACTGGCCTGACGTTCTTCACGACGTCACGAGGTATATTGAGTCATGAGCAGTTTGCCATCGTAACAAAGGTAGATCTCAGGTCCCTTATGGCCAACTGAAACCGATGCCGATTCCTCGGGCACCTCGCCTATCTGTTGCTATGGATGTTACAGGCCCGTTCCCCCGCGATGGCCTCAGTCATGACGGCATTCTCACGGTCGTTGACCGTTTGAGCAAATACGCTCGTTTTCTTCCATGCAAGTATCGTGCCACAGCCCCCGAGCTCGCTCGACTCTTGCACGCTGGCTGGATTACCGCCCATGGTGTTCCGAAGATATTGTGAGCGACTGAGATACTCGCTTCATGTCTTCCTTTTGGACTTCCCTCATGCCGGAGTCCGGTTCGACTATGAAGCCGAGTTCCGCACGGCACCCGCAGATGGATGGAAAGTCGAAACGAGCGCATCAAACCGCTCAAATGATGTTGCGTACACTCATCCGTCCCGACCAGAAAGATTGGGTTGACCGGCTTCCCGATATCGAGTTCGCCTATAACACTTCGGTGCATCTGGCGATCTGCCTCACTCCATTTGAGTTACATCACGGTGGAGAGAAGGCCCGAGTCTTCGTCGATCTTCTTTTACCACGGGCCGCCGACATAGACGTCGCTTACTCTCCCGCTTCCGTCCGGAAGTACGGGACTTGCTGATCAAAGCCCGCGCGAACATGCAAAAGGCTCAAATCCGCATGCAGCAGCAAGCCAACCGACGTTAACTCCCATGTCCTTTCCGCGAAGGAGACCTTGTTGGGTCCTCGCTGAGGAATTCGCGCTCGAGCAGGACGTCTCGCGCAAACTCCTCCCAAAATGGTTTGGATCATGGAAGGTAGTTTTTGCAGCAGGCGACGACCCTGCAAATCCTTCCTTTGTGATTGCCATCCCACCGGACCTCCGTGTGCAACCGGTCTTCCATGCGTCGAAGCTGGCCATCTACACGCCACCATCCGCAGACGAGTTCCCGGGCAGACGATCACAGGATCCGCCCTCTATGGACGGCCATCAGGAAGTTGACCGTGTCATCAAGCACCGCAAGTTTGGCAACAAGCCAATGCAATACCAAGTCACTTTCAAGCAATGTGACCCGGATGACACCCGTTGAATCTCCCACGCAGACTTACAAGCATCTTCACCTCTCATCTTCTCCGACTACGAGACCAGAAGACTTGCCAAGGACAAAGCTCGTCCCACCCGACCCACCCCGGTATCGGACATACATCTTCGCCCTCGCAGGTAGCTCGGTCTTTTAAGGGGGGGAGTGTGTTACACACTGTGTCACACGGGCCCGGTTAGGCCCGACAAATAGGGGTTCGGAGGCCGGTCCAGGCCCAAGGCCGGACCTTTAGACCAGAGGCGCCACTGTAGGCCCACCGGTTGGCCTTTAGGCCACAATTAGGACCAGACCAGACGGGCTGGCCCAAACGACATTACCGTTGGGCCAGACGGCGCTCTTGAGGATGACGCCCGTCGGTCTGATCTGAATCGTCACTTTTGACGATTCAGATCACGGCTCGGCCTCACAGCATAGAGGCCGACCTTTCCACACCGGTACTTAGGTACCAGGAGGCCGCCTATTCGGGCATTCAGGAGCAGCAACATTTCAGAGGAGCGCTGCGCTACAGCAGCAGCGGGAGGTTAGACCTGGACTGCAGTCAGGGATAGAGAACGAGCGAGGTACTTACCTGGTACTTACCTGTGGCGCCATCGCTTCAAGGCACTTCGACTTCAGAAGACTTCTATTCAATGCGCCACCTTGCATCCTGCAGGTAAGGCTTCGGGTCAGGACAGGGTAGTGAGGACTCTCCTCCTCCCTACCTCACCATCTATCCCTCCTCCTCTGCTATCTCCTCTTCTTCTTCTTCTTCTTCTTCTTTTTCTTCTTTTTCTTCTTCTTCTTCTTCTTCTTCTTCTTCTTCTTCTTCTTTTTCTTCTTCTTCAGACTTATTTTTCATCTTCTTCTTATTCAGATTGGAGACTTTGATACGAGTTGAACAAAGATCAGTGTTGGACTTTGGCGGTAAG